AACCAACCAAATGTAAAGTGGCATGTCTGAATAGTGACTGGGGTAGACTGTGTCCTGCCAGCTGACACCTTATTGCATAGAGCACTGTGGGACTTGCTAAAGGATGTCAGTCAAGTATTTATATCCAAAGTCATCTCCTGGTACCTTCAGCAGGGTTTGTTTGATTATATGCTTTACTCTGCCTAACTTGTCTGCAGTTTCATTCATTTTCAGCGCTTTCAGCATTTGGTATTCATCCAAATTTTCCCATCCAGTGGGAAAACTGACAGAATCACATTCTCTGTCTGGGAGAGTATCAAAATTATCTTGGCTGGAGACCAGCTGCAAGACTCACCTATACCTATAGACTCACACAGAATTATAGAATAATTTAAGTTAGAAGGTACCGTTGGAGGTTTCTGGTCCAACCTCCCCTCTCAAAGCCAGACCAATTAGATGATGATGCTCAGAGCCTTAAGCAGTTCAGTTTTGAATATATTCAAGAAGTGAGATTTCCTGACCTCATTGGCAACCTGTCCCAATGCTTGACTACTGTAATCATGGAAAAAATAGTTCCTAATGTCTAATCAGAATTTCATGTGTTCCGATTTGTGTCCATTACCTTTTTTTCTTCTACTGTGCACATCTGAGAAGAGACTGGCTCCATCTTCTCTACACCATCCCACTAGGTAGCTGTAGACAGCAATACGAATTTCCCCTTTCATCTTTAGAAAAGTCTGTCTTTATTCATGACAGCACACCCAGTATTCTGAAACTGCCACCTTCAGTTCTGCAGACGAAAAAAGCAGTTGCTAGAGAGTTTGGTATCCACTGTAGTAGAAATAGTCTCAATCCCTTGACCAGAACACAAGATCTTGATTTCTTCCACTTGTTTCACATATTTCTTTGTGATAGGGACGTTTCTAACATCTTCACTGATAGAGGAATTATTCCCAATTTCATCAGACTTTCTGCTTTTATTCTTTTATAATAACTGTGGTCTCTTTACAATAGATTTTTACCCATCTTATGTTGTTCCTGGGTGTCACTGATGAATTTCCACCTCATCCAGGAACATACTTGGTTGGTGCCTACAAGATCTTTAAAAGATCTAATTTAAGTGCCTCAATTTTTTTCTTAGCCTGCAGTTTATAAACACAGACTGGTAGTCTCTACCACATGCTCTTTCCTGAGGATTGTTTCTCACAGTGGTTTGCACTCATATAAAGTTCTGTATGCAGACAAGAGGTTTTAAATAATTGTACAATAGGACCCCCATCCTGATCAATTCTTAAATCTCAGATGGTCTGGTTTTCTCACATGCTGACTATTCAAGAAGGTATATGTCTTCTGCTGGATGTCTGGTAAACAAATTCACCTGATGAAATGCAAGACTTCTTATCCCTGTTTGTAACCCATAATTTCACATTCTGGCCCTTATTTTAACTTCTGACTCCTAGTTTGTAGACATCAATAATTCAGGGGTAAGTCCTGGAACCACATTATTTGAAAGCAGGCAAAAAAAAAAAAAAAAAGCTTTTAAAATACTGTGGCATTTTTATTCCAGTTCATTTGACCCAATCAATCTTGATGAATATGGCATCTCAGTAAACTTCAGATGCCTGTGGCACAGATGCACAGATCTATAGTTGTGCTGGTTACCTAGAGTCCAGTGAAAGTTAATGAGAGAAATAGGCACTTCTAGGATGCAATTCATGTTATCCTAAGCTGTATGTCAGACAAATCACAAGTTACATGCACCTGCTTCTTTCCACTGCTTAAGGGGGGGATCTGGGAGGTTAGCTCTGGGTAGGCTATGTCTAGGACAGATGTCTAAAATTAGGCAAGAGTTTCCTCACTTCTAAGACTTTCCAGTCTTAACATTCTTTTAAGTTCTTCCTTACTTCAAGGGCCCTTGTGCCCAGCAATGTCAATTTTCTTGGTCAACACCAAGAAATAGTTGATTTCAGCACAAAAAATGTAAATTTAAAACAGTGCAACTGCAGCTCACATTAAAAGAAAATTATGCGCCCTTTAGGCATGTGAGAAGCTTAAAAAAATTTAAAGGAGCTGTAGCTGAATATCTTTCACCTATGACTTCTACAACTAAATCTGCAGGCCTAGTTTTGTCCTCATTTATAAAAGTTAGTATTATTAAGGAATCTACATAGGTTAAAATATGGCTGAGTGAGGCTCACAGAAAATATCTCTTAATGAACCCATAATATTTCTTTTTATTATCATAGTATTTTTTAAATGCAACATATATCCACAGGTATTTAGACAGTGAAGCAGAGATGGACAAATGAAATAGAAAACTTCAGGTTAAATAACAGATTTCCCTGGAGGAAAATATATTACTTCAGAAAGACCAGTGGAGAAACCTTGTTCTCAATATGAGACAAAATCACAGAATTATAGAAAAGTGTGACCCATTTAAAAGGTCACCTAATCCTTCTTTTCTTCTAGGCAGGATAAGCTAAAGCTACATTGCTTTTTTACAGATGTTTCATTAATCGCTTCTTTAAAGCTTCCAAAGACAGGCATTCTAAAATTTCTGTGGCAATTTATCCTTCATGCTTAACTATTCTTAGCAGAAAATTCTTTCCCTGTAAATCTCCTTTGCAGTAATTTTAGCACATTGTCCTACTACAGCAGAAATGGAGAACAGTGTAGTTCTGTCCTCTTGGCAGTACATTTTAGGTATTTGAAAATTGTTTAGATATACCTTTCTTCCACTTTCTAGATTAAAATACATTTGTTGTTTAAAATTTTTTTGATAGATCACAGGTGTTATTTACCTTTGTCACTCTTACTGCTTTTCACTGTGGTTTCTTGAACTGTTCCATATTTTTAAAGTGAAATATTCAAAACCAATGAAGAATTTCTGCTGATATCTAGAAAGTGCAAAATGGAGCAGAGGGATTATTCAGCTTATTTTAACATGCAATCCACTTGTTTTTACAACAAAGCAAGACAATGTTGATTCATGTTTAGCTGTGATGTCTTATGATTCTCTGATCCTTTTCTGATGAAATTACCCAGTTATTCCATATCTTGTTTTTGTGGAGCTGTGAAGGACTTGGCTATTGCTGAGGTACAGACACAAGTGTAACTGAGACCACAGCAAAAGCCCATTTGTTTGAGGGAGTAGAATTCTGGTGAGGAGCAAGAAAATTTTGGACAAAGTGGATGTTTGACTTCACAGTTAAGGTATAGTCATTCAAACAACAATAAAAGCCCAGTGCTACAACAGAAAACAGATGGAGCTCCAGAAGGTACTGCAGGAACCGGCTACTTCTCACTAGTTGTGAACTACTTCCCTGGGTGAGGTAGATACATGCATGTTTCTTGAAGCCAGAGCAACTGAATTAGAGATACAAGAAAAGGTTAACATCCCTGCAAGATCGTAACCATATATTTCATTGCACTGAGAATTCCTTTCATGTTTGGTGATCCTTACTGATAGAAAGAGGTAAATAAGTGCAGCTGGTGTTGAAAGTTATATGAGCAACGGGACTTGTTGTAGTAGCAAGTGCAGTTTGGTTGCATGCTCTCTGAGTAGGTATTTCCTTTGTAGATACTCTGCAAACAAGGCATTTTGACAGTGTCTGCAAAAAAGCATGTGGTCATGATCTCTGTGAGTACTGATGACACAAGAAAGGCCAGGGGAGGGTTTGGGAGACAGAATTTAAGCTCTTAGATGTAAAACTGAAGATCAGGACATCCTTGCATTAGCTTTATTTATATTCTGGTTCAGCTCACAGGATGAGACAAAAAGGGGGTAAGTCCTCAGCATGAACTGGGAAAATGTGATGGGGAAGAGAAGCCTAGAATGACTAGGAGTGACAGAACTTTGGGAATATATGGAATTTACACAATTGACATGTAATGGCCATGCTCGTGTTGGACATTATGATTAATTACCACACAGAGAGTAGACAAGGGAACTCAATGCTCAGTAGCAGTCAGAAAGATATCTCAAACCCAGGAATTTGCATAAGACATGCAAAAGAAGAAAAGAAGTGAAAAACCCAGGAAGCATCTGTATGCCTGTCTGTGAATCCAGATTGTTTATCTATCTTGAATGCTGCATGCATCTGTGGCCTGTCCATCTTAAAAAAAAAAAAAAGGTAAACCAAGAAAAGATATAGAGAAGAACAAGAAGAATAATCTGGACTTCTCACAAAGAGAGAGTGAATAGATAGCAGGGCTCTCCAACTTGGAAAACAGGTAACTGCATGGAAAGTATGATGGGCATGGATGACTGGGAGTGAATGAATTGAGTGCCATTGCTTTTTGTCTCTCACAGTAAAAGAAGTAGGAGATATCAGAGAATATTATCTGACACCAGGTTTAAAGTAAACATAAGGAAGTCTTTTTTTATATATGATTAGTTCCTTTCCTCAGGCATGGAATGTTTCAAATAGGAATTTGAAAAATTTGTGTGAAAAATCGATAGTTTAACAAGATGCAGAGACAGATTCTGTTTCAAACTGTGTAGCAGATTACCAGAACCTGGGAGAGTATAACACAGGGAGTCTCTCCATATTATTGTCCCATTCTTATAATCCATCTCTTAAGCATGTACTCCAGGGTCCTGTTGCGGCTGAAATATTGAACTAGATAAGCCCTTATTTGGGCTCACCATTTGCATATCCTGCAAGTACTTCCAAAAAACACATCTGAGGAACACTCTGGTCCAGGCTCTAACCCCATTTTCCACTAATTTTTACTCCTCTATCTCCCACATCTCCTTTATTCCCCATCCCTTTGTTCCTGTAAGTTCCCATTAGTCCTAGCACTGACAGACTATTATGATAAGTTGCTGCAGGTCCCCAAACCTTGTTCTACCTATTCAGACTGGGAATCACTCTCTTACAACAGTGATAGAGTTCCTAGTAGAGTTTTTCCCATACTGTTGTAATGCAAACAATGACATCTTGTCATATTCACTAAATCCAGAAGAGTAGAAGTTCCACAGACGAATGTGTGTCAATAGTAGTGAATCACTGAGACATTGGCTGATTCATGTTTAATAAAGCCTCCTGCTTTATTCTACCCATAGTGAGAAGCAGAAATCATTGACATTTGAAACATAAACTTTTTTCAGGTCGGAAACAGGGAAAAGAACCAAACAAAATCAATTTTCCTTTTCTGTCTTCAGCTTTTCCCTAATTCCTGAAGCAACAATGGCAAAAAACAGCTCAGGGAAGAAGGTGCGAATGTAAACTGCTGTTCTGGGGATAGGATTGGCCATAAGTACCTCCTGCTTCTTACTGCTTACTGTGCGCAAGACTTCCTCTGCCACCTCCACTGGGTGCACACCATATGCCACCTTTCTGAAAAAGACTGTAAATCAGAGAGGAGTGAGAGCTACAGACAGACAGATAGACAGACACGTCTAAGGGAATGGCGATGAAAAGATACACAGCTAGTGCATGAGTCAAATTAGTTAAATTCCTACACACTTTCAATCCCTTACCCCTTCCCTTCCCCTCATCAGTATGTCCCTAAGATCTTTTCACAATTTTGATGTAAAATCCTCACAGTCCCTAAGAGAAGGAGCAACCTGAGTGCAGTGGAACTCTCCCTCGGGACCTTTCATGCTCTGCTCTACCTCCATTCCCCATGCCCTGGTGTATTTATTTTCTCACATAATGTTGTTTCTTTCCATGTTCCTTCTCTTTTCACCAGGCTCATCTGATCTCTCCAATGTCTCTTTTCTTTTGCTCCCCTAACCTGTTCATCCTTTCTGTCATTTCCATTCTTTTCCCTATGCTCCTTTCTTCTCCCCGGGAAAAGCCTCCATACTGCTACATGGGCCTCATCTACCATCTCTCTTGATGCATCAAACCTTACATTTCCAAATAGATGCCTCCCAGTTGCCAGGTGCTGGTTGGCGATGATATGAACAGATGAAGGTTGGATTCACAGTGCTGACAGAAATATCAAATTCTTCCATTTCAGCTCTAAGACAATCAAAAAAGCCTACAGCAGCATGCTTAGAAGCAGCATCTAAAAGAAAGAAAAAAAACCCCACATATGCATGTTTGGATATATGAATGCATGGATATAGATGTATGATAGAGCTCCATAAAGCATGAATGTTTGGAAAATTGAGCATGGAATGATTAGTCGGAAGGTAAAAGAACAGTGAATTATTTCACCCAGTGAAATTATCATATGACACATTTAAAACAAACAAATAAAATTTTTTGTACAGGACAATTATGCATGAGGTATGCAGTCAGTCTCCTTGTACATGTCAAAAAGCATGTGTCTGGATTTCCTAATCAGAAATATTAAGTCCTAATTAAGGAATAATACTTCTATTATCTCTACAGTTTAAAAATGTCTTTGGTGGATGGACAGCTGTCCATGAGATGAGTCTCCACACCATCTATTGCTGCAGTTTGTGACACATCAATAAAATGCAGTGAAATACATGTCCATTTCTGGAATACAGGAGTACTAATGTTTTGTAAACTAATTAGGCCTTTGCCCTGCAGCAGCAATCCAAGATGCTGTTAATTTTAAAGTAACTGAATGTTAAGAATTTTTTTAACTGCTCTTAGTGCCTTTTTATTGAGCATGGTGTTAAAGAAGGATGATAGTATGTGAATCTTGACCAAAAACCAGAACTATGTGTTAAGTGCAGCAGAGCTGCAAAGCATTCATCTACCTTGCATTTGACTCGGTTTGCACAGGTGAAAATCAACCTGTGCATAATATAATCTAAAAAATGGCAGGTGGGCTCCTGGAATGTAAAGAAGCTTCTCCATTAATTTGTTTTGAAATTCCTTCTTCTGGCAGCTTCATTTCATACAACATAGATATCGGTGGAGGCATTGTAAAAACTATCTCTGTTAGCTCTTCTACTACTCATGATTTCATACACATACAATGTAACTTGACACAATTGGCTGTTTCCTAGATGGAAACATTCCAGATGTCCCATCAATGTGTTGTTTCTTTTCTGAGCCTTTTCTGTAGTTCTTATACTTCTTTTGAGATGGGGGACCAGAATTGCACACAATGATCAAGATGTGGGCACTGCATAGATTTATACAATGGTATAAAGACAGGATTTAATTTTTTTTCTCTACTGCTTTCCTTACAGTTTTTGTCACTGTATTTTGCTTTCATGGAACTATAAGTCACAATCCTGAGGTCATGCAGACCTTTTAATTCAGAGTCCATCATCCACTGACCTCCTGTCACAGGTTAAAAATGTCTATTTACATTTTACATTCTTGCAGACCTTTTAATCCACAGTCCATCATCCACTGACCTCCTGTCACAGTTAAAAATGTCTGTTTACATTTATCCCTTATTTTCTGTCCACTAACATTTTATTAATGCAGAGATCTTTCATCATAATTCAGGACAGTTTAGTTTCATTAGGGACTTTGGATGAAAGACCTTCTTGAAAATTTCCTGGAAAGCCAAGCAGAATACAATTACTACATCTCCTTTTAAACTCCTGCACATAAATCCATTAAGTGCATGAGTCTTCCTTACAAAGCAGTAGCTAGTATCTACCAGTATGTTATATTTTTACACTACTTCATTCTTCATTATGGGTTCTACTAATATGTCCAGTACAGATGTTAGACCTACAAATTTGCTGTTTCTTGAATGTTTCCTAAGATCATAAAAAGAACTTGCTGTCACATTTAATATCCTCTTGTCCTCAAGTACCTTAGGCAGTAGTTATACTTCAAAGATAGTATTTTAACTATTTCTTCTTGAGTTCCACTTCTCTGAAAAATTTTCAGCCAAATACTGTATTAATAGTTCACTGAATTAGGATGCAAATTAGCACTTTTAATAACCTATTATCAGTGCCATGGAATACTCACAATTTATGCATTAGAATGTACATTTTTGCTATGTATAACTTACAAGCTGCACGAAATGGGATTCCTATTTTTCCTTGGATACTATTAATTAGAACAATTTGGCCAGTTCTTCTTGAGATCATGTTGGGAAGAATGGCTGAAAAAAAGAAATAGAAGAAAGAGCCACATAAGTAAAAGAGCTCAATGTATTTAGTGAACAGAGGTGACAGCTGAATGTAGATAGCATAGCACAACTTTGATGAAGGTTGGCTCAATAATGCAATCAAAAGTATCACAAAATCCAGTAGCTGGAAACTGAGTGTCTGCTAGACTTCACTTGGATTCTACATGCAGATTTGGGTGCAGTATCATCATATTTAATTGTCAGCCTGTCTGTATGCTTGAAAGTGTTTTGAAAACAATTGTCTTTGAAACAAAGGCAGCAAGCATGTAAATAAAGGGGTCACCATATACAGAATACAATAAGCAGACATATTATATATGTCTTATATATAATCTTGATCAATCTATTTCCCAACCCAGGCACTCTGATTTTGATCTTCTTCACCTCAATTTCAGTCCATTGATTTTCACATAATTGTTTTTGATTATAGTGAAGAAGGCAAAAATAAGTGCAAATGAAACAATGTAATGCCAATGACTTGGATCTCAAGCTTTAAGTGGCAACAGCAAAACAGGAAAAAAAATTAAAATACCTTTAGTTAATGTTATAGGTCCAAAATAGTTGGCATCCATTATCTTTTTATCAAGTTCCAATGAAATGCTCTGTACTGCTCCTTTCACCTTCATACTTGCATTGTTGATCAGTATATCCACACAGCCATAGCAATTCAGAATTTCCTTAGCTACATCTTGAATGCAGTTTATATCTGAGATATCCAGAAGTATGAGCTTTGGTGCATATGTCTAATAAAGAAAAGACTTATTTCAAGGATACCTGTTATATAAATATGTATTTCTATTTACTTGTCTTGTAAATTAATTTACCTTGATATCTGAAGAAAGTGCTTTTATCATTCTCACAAAAAATTTGATTTGTTCTTTTAACCCACTCTAGAAAGAAGGGGTTCAGCAATGGGTATTCATAGACTCTGAAATTCAGATGAAGCAGAACACCATGGGAAGGATAAGCTGGACTAGCTCTACCCTATTGAGTTTTGTCTCTCTTGTAATCAATGGAGACAGATAATAGACACAGGGGGTGACTCCTACCACTCCAAGTTATGGTCTTTCTGTAAGCAGCCTTCTGGAGAACTTTGCTGATCACAGAGTCTAGGATACAGTGCTTTGATAGATAATTTACATATACATGGGGGGGCAGTTGAAAGGTAGGAACTGTTTGTTCAGCTATAGGTTATCCAAATAGAATTTATATTTGTATGGTTTCTGCAAAGATGTAGATTTTATCAGCTATGGGACAGACGAATGAACTCTGAGTATCTTCTCTTACTATATTACTATGACGATGTAATGCAGATGCCTTAGTCATACTTAACTTTTTTTCCTAGTTGAGTCTGCACAGACTAACGTGAACACTACTTTTATGGTTATTTATGCAGATGAATGAAGCTCACTGCAAAAAAAGGGTCAAAAGCAAGTATTTGTTGGTCTGGTGAGCAATAGCTGTAGAATTTGTGTGATGACTTCAGGAATACCTGTGGCCTGAAATGAGTCAGCTGTTGGTCACAGAAGGAAAACCTTCCCATGAGCATCAAAGAAACACCTTCCAAAGAACTGGCAGCAGGGGCAGCCTTGCACGTCTACTTGCATGGTGACCCAGTCAGTAGTAATGAGAAAAGGGCACTCCTATTCATATGCTCCCATGCCCTTCTAGCTGGGACTTCTCCCAAAGCAGTGGAGAAATTAAAAATTAATTCAATCTTTAGACCCATCTCCCACTTCTTGAGCAGTCTGTGTGAAAAATGGATGATAGTTCCTGTGATTAAATGAAGCACTTTGAACCCCTTCCATCCAAATTAACGGGCAAATTTCTCTGCCTAGCGTTTCTAGTTGGGTGGCTTGTTCAAAATGCAGGACCACTCAGTTGCTTTACAGTAATTGCCTTGAATTAGCTCAAGAGAGCAGGATTTCTGACTTATGCTTTTGGCATCATGCTCTGAAGACCTTCAGAGGTGTTTTTCTCTCTCTCTCTCTCTCTGGACTGTGTTGGGTGTGTTACCTGGTTGATCCAAATCACCATTAACAGTGAATCATGTTTCATGTACCTTGTTTTACTGGATTTAAAAGCACTTTGTGTACCTGAACAAGGTGTTTACCTCAAGTTGTCAATTTTCAAAGCAGAGTGAGGAAATACTTACCATGCTGGGATCTGCCACACTAATTAAAGCATCATACAAGGCTTCTAACTTTTCCCATGTCCTTCCACACAACACAAGCCTTGCTCCTCCTGTGTGAAACACCCGAGAACATTCTAGGAGAGAAATATGTTCAAAAGAAATAATTACAATAATAACAATTTGATTTTGTTTATTTTGCTTGAAATGGGATGCTGGTTTTGCTAATGATGTTGAATCTATGCTTTAAAATTCATTAGTTTTGAAAGAATAAATATATATGAGAAAAAAGAAAGCACTAAATAGCAATAATATAGATGTCAGTAATAAATTAAAATTTAATGTAATGGTATAATGCACCATTAACGGTACAGCACAATGGTACTATTTAGTCATAGGATTTAATAAAAATTTAATTAAGAAAAGAACATTATGCCTGTTAATGGATGATGGGTTTGAGTTAGAAAAAATGTTCTGATTATCTTTCTTCCTTAACTCTCTCCACTTACAGACACACTTGCTATAAAGAAAAATATATACAAAAATAAATGCTTAAGGTTGTTACAATACAAACAGCATCTTTTGCAAATCTTCATGTCTACTGCAGTATAAAGAAGAAACCAACCAACCCCAGTTAATAGTAAAACTGGCTCTGTATGCTACCTTCATGAAACTCTTGGCAACATGAAACTCATCTGCAACTTTGAGAAAGAGCAATCCAGAGAAACTTACCATCCACTGGTCCACAGATGGAGCACCAATGAGAGTGGCCTTTCTTCTACAGACCCTTCCCTCTATACGTAATCCATCCCAAGACCTTTATCTCCTGAGTATTAGACCTTCCCAGTAGTCAGCAGAGGCATCAGGGACCAGCTTGAGCTACTCTTGTTCAGCTACATTCCTGAAGCCTTCCTGAGAAGGCCACTGAGAAGTTTCTGGGTATGCTGGGCTGGCACTGTTTTTTCTCCATATATTCAGGGGTATTCTGAGCTAGGGGTTCACCCCAATTTAAGCTAGGTCTCTGGGGAGGATTCTTCTCCTTTTCTTATGCAAGTGAACTATGATTGTGCTTTTCTGAAAGTGGGGACTCACATAACAAGAGGAACTGGCAGTCAGTGTTACCCATTATCCCACCTCAGCACACATCCCACAAGATTGCAGCCAACTCATTAGTTTAGTCTTCATGGGAATATGTGATTAGCTCAATCCAGATTATGAAATACCGAGCTGGAGCATCCTGACAGCATGTGTCTGGTTTATTTTCTTCTCTAGGTGGTGTTGAGGGAGAATATATTCCTCACTGTCCTGTCAGTTTGACCAAAGGCATTTAAAAACATGGAACATAGATGTCTCATGGGCATCTTTTAGGAATTCATTGTCAGTTGTATCCCTCTGGCTGTTATAGGCTGCTACAGGGTGCATGTTCTAGCTCAGCTGAACTGAAACTGTGGCTCTCAGTCCAGGAATCTGTCAAGGTTGTCCTCCTGACCAGGAAAAGTACACAATTGCCTGCCTTTTCTTTCTTGGAATAGATAATGTCTTGCAGATAGGCCTGAGGATGCGACTGATGATGTGCCCACTGTGCCCCAAACCAGAGATCTGGTTTGGGTGCAGCCAGACAATTAGTTGACAGTGGGTTATATGTCTGGTAGGACTGGAAATCAAGAGTTATTTTTTCTCTCATGGTTTTTTTCCTGATTAGGTCTTCCAAAATGCTTTCAGCCTTGGAGCCCTCATATTTGATCCCTAATTCAAATCTGTATGACAGTCACATATTCAGCATGGGAAGAACAGGAATATGGACTTACAACTACTCTTATGCCTTTCCAGCCTGTTTGTTTTGTCTTAGATCCTATGGCCTTTGTTGAATGGGCAACAGTACAACTCTAGTGCTATAGCTGTCTGTCCTCCAAAAAGCATTTTCTTCAGATTTCAATACCCACAGGAAAATCCAGTTATGCTAATAAGCCTATCTTAGATTTCATAAATGCCCATGTCAGACTCTTAATATCTGCATGGAAGCACTTCTGGATCCACTTTTCTATTTTTGTAAACCTGTGCAGCTGGAGACTTCTATTTATGTAATCTTTTTCATTATTTACAACAGTAATTTTATTAATGTCTTTCATTTTCTGTTTTCTAGCATAGAAAAATTTTTTTGATTTAAAGCCCAAAAGATTATTTGCCTAGGACAACTACAACAGTATTTTTCCTATAAACATAACAGCTGGGGCAACCTTGTGAATAAAATGTGACTACTGTGTAAACAGCAATAAAAGGGAAAAAGGGAAACCAATGATGTTCTCCTCTAGAACTATCCTGAACTTTTCTGAGTTAGAGCACTGAGAAGAAACAGGAATCAGGTTAAATAACAACCATAAACCATTGCAAACATCCTCAATCATCATAGCTTTTGTTTATCTTTTTTAACTTTGATGAATGTCGTCTTTAGTCCGGAAATTCTGGCATGTCGGAGAAGGAATTTGGCTGTTGCCTAAGAGCTCAAATATGCAGCAGCTGGCCAGACAGCTGGTATTTTAAAGCTCTGGATGAATGTCCATCGCATATGCATGAGTGGACTGCACAGTAAATTCTGCATAATTTGGAATCATTCAAGCCTGCAAATAACTTCTCGGTATCACCCTATGGGATACTGGCAGTAGATATGTTAAGGATAATAAAATAAAATTGCTTTGAGTTACCTCCTTTTTCGTCTACGTGAAAAAGGGGGTGTGTGTGTGTGGGGGGGGGGTGCCTTTGTAGCCTCAAGAGACAGGCAGCAGCTAGTCATAAAAAAAATATATATATATGAAGAAAGGTTAATAAGGAAATTGAACTCAGGAAAATCTTCCCCAGGGGTCGTGGAGTGCTGGAGCAAAATACCTGGAGAAATGTTCAATAAATGTTCTTTAGCCTTGGAGGTTTCCAAGATTTGGCTTGAAGCCAAGCCCAACCAGATCTAGCACTGGTGATTTTCCTGCTCCAAGCAGGACTTTTGTCTAGAAACCTCCAGGCATCATATGATTCTATGAGATACCCAATCTCAGCTGGAGAACTCTAAATCACGCCTCTCCAAACAAAAATACTGAAATATAACCAATCAGAGAAAATGCATGCTAATATTATCTTCATCTGAAACTGAAGTGTGTCAGGGAAAGGGAAAGACCAGGTGGGATGTGGAGGTCAGAATTATTTCATACCTTGTCCTAACAGGCTCTGATAAAAAGCACTCCTTGCCAGCGTAGTGTGTATTTCTGTTGCAGGTCTCTGCTCTGTTCTGCTAAGGAATAATTCTGCAAGAGCATTCCCTTTCTCCATCTATTTTCTGCTTGGGAGTGCAAGGTTTCCAACATACAGCAAGGCTTCATTGAAAATGCCAAAATGTAGCCCCAAGCTATGTTTGCCTCATCAGGCCCTTGCATCTACTGCCCCTCAAGTGATGCCTAGAGCAGGACCGTACATAAGCAATAATGACCCAGTACTTTTGATCTGGCAGCACTGTGTAGTCAGGAAATATGAGCCAAGAAGAACTATATGCTAAGTGGCTGGCCACCCGGGCAATCAGCTTATATAAATAGATAAATTATCACAGACCCTTTCCTTCCATCTACTGACCCCCCCCATTACACAGTCAGGCAGCCCAGCTGAGGGTAATGGAGGATGTCAAGGGAAGAGGAGTAACATGGGTGATAGAGAGGGCAGAGATATGAACAGGGACAGAGGGGTGAGCACTGTTGTTTACAGGGAGCAGGAAATGTTGAAGTCTTTAAGGGCTGAAAAGGAACATGGAAAGAGTAAGGTGACACCTGTTTATACTGATTTGCTGCTACCCTGCGGCGACAGCCTATGTAATAAGATCTCATAGTAGCAACATGCTAAAAATAACACTCTTAATGTGCTTACAAAACCTCTCAATCTATTGAATTAAATAAATACAAAGCTTTGCAGTTCCTAGAAGTTTACCAACAGTTCCTGTGGTTGAGACTAAAAATGTACATTTAAAAATCATAGGATTTGTTTAAAAATATATTTCTTAACTTCTGCTTCATCCAGGCAGTTATGAATATATACAAGGTAATGTATGCACATTTTATCACCTAGAGGGTTGTTCTCTGGCTGTTTCTGTTCTCTGACACTGAGAAGAAATGAGACAACTCACCCTTGCCCAGTCCAGAGATGGCATCCGTGATCACCACCACCTTGTTTTGCACAGCTGACTTGGACAATAGCCACCTGACTGACTGGCAAATATAAATAATTCCACTGATCCCTAAGAGAAGCAATGGTAGAGCAAGTACAGCAAGAATACCCATCTCTGTGGAAAACAAAAGACCATATGAGAGTAACAGTAATCATAATATGCATTCATTATTTTTCAAATTATTCTTACCTAAAAAAGCAATGTTTTCATACATAGAAAATCCAGTAATCAGCATGCCAAAGACTTGAAGCAGTAGGGAGCTTGTTTTCCAATCAATGGTTTAATATTATTATTTAATAAACAGGGTAATACTGTTTGTTTGTCTGTTTTCCTCATGATTGCATGGTCTAACCAAATCTGGATTCCTGTTATTCAAAATTACTCTATGTTGGCAAAAACATAATAGAATTTTACTACAAATATTGCCTTGAGGCAAAACATAGGCTAAAATATAGCACTGAACTTCTAATTATGTTGTTATTATAGGAAAACAGATAAAAAGCTTTTAATCCTAATTTCAGATAAAACACATAATAGAAGTGTTTTCTGTTCTAAAAGATAGAAAAAATAAAATCACTTACTATGTCTATGAAGACTCCAGGTATAGATAAAGCATTCTTTTGTATTTTTGTAAATTTTTGTATTATGGGTTTAATTAAAGTCCTTTAGCAATTTCATAGAGTATTGCATCTGTTGAGGCTGCTTGCCCTGAATGAGAATGGCTATGTATAGCCATGTGACAGAGATACTTTAAAAGTAAATATAGCATCTACAGTGTGATCCGCATACCTGACCTATCTAGTCCAACAGGCTGGTCAGTCATGTAAAAGCTCTCAGTACAGTATCAAAGAAACATCTTTCTGTCCTGCCTTTGGTTGCAGTTGTTCATAGGACTGTCTCAATTTCTTGTCATTGCCCTTCAATTAACTTTATACATAAAAACATTTGTATAAACTCCATAATGACAATAGGTCTTCAAAACCAAGCAAAAGGTACCACAAAGAAGTTGTCATTTGAAACAGTCACTGTTCAGCAATATGACTGATATATGTACGTCAGGAAAAGGTCCTTGAGCAAGCTGGCTTGGGAGCCAGTGCATCACACAGAGCTGCTGTGGGCAGCTGAGTGCTGGAACAGACCAGGTACCTCAGGCTGCTTTCCACTCTTGGTATCTGCAAGGCAGATGTGCCTCTTTCCCAGCAATTTCAGGACCATATCAACTTCAGGTAGGTGATCTAACTTTTACATTTGCTGCAGAGAGACATTATCTGTTAACCTGACAATCTCAGTTATGGGTTGCCCTTTGGGGTTCTAGGGAAAAGAATGGTTTACCATAAATCATTCCTGTTTTGTTGTTTCAAAAAATTATACCACAGTCTTAAAATTGTAAGTTTTGATAACCAGATTCAGTATTCCTGTTCATGCTGTGTAACTGGTCATCTGTATTCTACATTCTAATTTTCATCTCCAATAAGAGAATGACAAGTCTACAAATGATAGTCATTGATATTGGAGTGTTGTAACAAGGAACAGACTTCATGGTTAGGTCTGCAGGTACCAGGACACTGTTAGCTTTCAATGAGTGGGAAAGGATAGAAGGTTATTCAAGAGGGTGTAGGAGGGGACTTTTAAACATAGTTTGTAAACCTAACTTGCTCTAGAAGTTAATGACATTAGGAATCAAGATGCGTATTCCTGCCTGTGAAAGTTGAAGTTGCCCGCCAAAGAACCCATGATTTAAGATTTCCAAACCATGGAATTGTATAATGTGCCAATGTTTGTAACATTGTGTGCACTTCTAGCTAAAAAGACTACATAGTGAATGACAGATATGAATAAATACCTGTTTTCCAATGCAAAATGGTCATGGTGTCCTGAAATTTACATCAGTTTCCACAGGAGAATGTAAAAACGTTAAGTCAAATGAGCTAAGAAGTCATGCCAAGCCACCTGCAGAAGCAGAGAGGAAATCTGATTTTCCATCACCTCTAAAGCCCCAACTATCTTTGCTTACTTTCAAGGCATCAGCTTTAAATAAACAGATATGCATTTCCCTATCAGTAAGTAAGCTGGTTTGTTCCTTTTATGGAACAGGATGTGTTGTTAATTTAATTTATTTAGGGTTCTGGAAACATTTTTCTGTGAAGGTGAAACATCAAAAGCACACACTAAAGAGACAGGATTTATAGGAGTTCCAAGTGATTTGTTTGCTTTGTTCCCAAATGAACCAGCGCAATGGTACAAGTAATGTAAGAGCAAGAACAGGAAAAAATCAGTTGAAAGAACTAGACAACCAACAACAGGTAGGATTGTAATGATAAAATGCTAACATGTCTGTTAAGAATAATGAACAATTGTAAAGGAAGACTGCCTGAGTCATCTGGAAAAATACAGACATACAGTGACCACAATAACCAAAACACCCAAATCTTTCCAAACACAAATCTCTGAGTCAGGTGAAGTACCAGAGAAATGTATTCTGCACTGCCACCTACAGACCACCATTGGAAACACCAGAGAAACAAGAATAATTATAAATTGTTTCAGAGGGTAGATCCCATAAAATGGGTAAGTCATCTACAGGGAAACTTGAACAAAAGTGAGGCCCTCACTCTCCTTCAGTTACCTCTGCAAGTCTCTACATTCCCAACCCCTTTGTCCAGAGCTGAGCTCCAGGAATTGTCCCAGATGACACCAGAGCTGAACAGCGTGTGTCCAAACCTGAAACTTGACAGAGATCTAGGGCTTAATTCCCTCAAGTGCTCGACCTAGGAGGCTGTCTGAGAGCATGAACATGCACTTACATACATTTCACATTGTTCAGAAGTGCTGGACATAGCATTGGGTGGGTGGGTGTTCTTCGATGTTTTGTTTGGTTTTGTTTGTTTCTTGGAGGAAACAAGAGTTTAACACACTATAGAGAAAGCAATGATTAGGTGCACTGGTGGTTAAAGCATTCATCCAGGAAGAAGAAACCAAGGTTTCAAATCCATGCCTGCCCCAAAAAGATGATCCGAGCTTTACAGCTATCATTTCTGGGGGTTGTGAACTCCCTAAGCATGGGCATATTCTCGTCCACAGCATAGCTCTTCATTTTAACCAGTGGTTGCCTAACATCTCAGAATACAATTCTTCCTTTGAGTAGAAATGGAAAGGCATATGGATTTTCACATACTTTGAGAGGGTATGTGTCTCTAGCACTCAAAGCCAGAGACATTTTTAATACTAGCAGTAGCCAGATAAAGTGCTTTACTTCTGTGCTTCTTAGGCTCCTAATAAAGGAATATGTAGGCTGTAGTGAGTCCTGTGTTCCCCATTTGTCTCAGTCACGTGACATTGTAGGGCATTTGCTGTGACTGCATTACTTTCACAGTTAGATGAATTTTACCTTTTTTTGTTCCTCAGCCATTGTTTCTGTTTCCTTCCATTCTTATTTTATCGATTTTCCTTGTATTTTCTTTTGATAGCTTTGAGATCACCGAGCATACTGACAGTACAGTTTCTACTTAAAGATACTTTTGGCATTTGCTAGAATTCCTATGTTTATACGTATGCCATCTGTGAATGGTCCCCACTATTCATAGACCTGTTGTTGACTTGCATGACTAGCCCATCATATATTCGTAATACTACTATGAATATTTTCAAGCCTTGGAAAGCACAGAAATTCTTGCTTGAAAAAGCAGTCAGCACCATGTTTGGTCCTGGGAGCAGCAGATACATAGAGTATTTCCATTCTCAATATAAAAAAATTAATCTTAAGAATTTTGGACTAAAAAACTGCTCTTTGGAAAGTCCTGTGATCACAATGCAAGAACCAAGAATCCGTTGAATCGGAAACACAGTGTCAACAGAAGAACATCTAGTTCAAGTCAACACACTGCCTGCTCAAGGTCAAAACCACTCCTCAGTCCATGCAATTATTTATTTCATGTTCTCTTCCCACACATCCACAGCAGTGGTGTGCCACAGTATGTAGGTACGGTTCCTCCTACATACTCTGAAAGGTAAGTATCCTGATAAAAAACTACAAGGGAAACTGGTGTTCATCTCAGTAATAGAGACATACGAGCATATAGTCAATCTGCCCTCCTTTCTCCTGAGGGAGACTCCATTGGGTTGACCAACGGGTTTCCCTCCGGTTTCCTCGTGAGCTTGGATCTGCAGTCAGCTTCATTACCATCTGTAGGCATCTGCACTCGTACTGTTGAAAGGTCTCATCTTTTCTCTTTACCTGATTTCATAAATTATTCCCCATTTTTTTCTACTTCTGAATCCACTTTTTTGTAGCCATTTTATCTCCCTTTCTCTTCTCAAACTCCTTCCAAAGAAACAATCCACTCTGAATTACCTTTTGCTCTTTGGTCCCAGTTCTGCATCATCCATATGCAAATTATGTGGTTCTGATCTCGTTACCTAGGAAATTTCAGCCTGATAAGGTGTTACTGATATGATTAGTGAGTGCCCTACCAAGACACTGCATCTCTAAATTACCCTACAATTATCCCATTTATAACAGTTGCATATCAGTTATCGCATATGCTCCTTGAAAATAATCATTGTACTTTAGCCTTCATTCCTCTGCTTAGTTTCAGCTGAGCACAAGGAGTTTTGTATCCTATCTGCAGTCTACACACTAGAGCAAGAGAATATGTTTTTCACACTCTGATGTGACCAGACAGCATCCTTGCCCTGGAATTTTCTCAACCACTGTCGTGGTTCCCTGCACAGGCTTTGGCTGGTTATAAAGCCTGGTGCTCCTGAAGGATTTTTTGCTCACAGACTCCCTCTTCTGGATTTAAGGAAAGAGATCAGTTCTCACTGTGCACAATTTGTCATAACCAGTCAGAGGGTATTTTTGGTCTACTGTTACCAGTAGGAGACTTGAAAAATTTTTCATGGCTTTCAAATTCTGGTCTTTCTCATAACCTACCAGCACCTATGGAAAACCTGTAGATTGGCAGTATAGGGTTTTTCCATGGTATAACCAAGTCTCCATTCCTTCAAGGACTTCAGCACTCTGCGCTTCTCCCTTGTTTTGTGTTTCTTTTTTCCCAACTCTGTGAAAAAAGATCATCTTAACCTCCTTTTCCTTTCTCTTCCATGTCTTTTAAAAACCTTTTCTATCTTGGCTAGAAGATCAGGAGATGGTCTTTGCTATTGTGCTCTAGACCGGACATGTGTCACACAGTGCTTTCAATTCTATATCTAGGGACTGTTTAATTCTGTTCCACACTGTAAGTGTAGGAACCAGTATACGTGAGGCTTATCTACTATACATGAGCTTGGAAGTTAGTGCTGGTCTTGTTTTTTAACCATCATACGGTTTATTGAAGGATGGGAAGAGGCAGACTCTGTTTACCCTCACAGATGGTGATGTCTCATGCTGTAAAAAATCACCTGTTGGTCTCAGCATCTGGAATATCCTCCCTGGAAAATCTTCTGGAAAGTAAGTTCTGTTTTCAGAACAAGCCACACTTTGTAACTCTTGCAGGTGGGGACATTTAAGAAAAATGCAGAATACTGACATCAGCCAGAAGGTCTCTAATGGTGCTTTAGAGATTTCACTGCTCAAAAAGCTTTAAGAATTTTATTTATTTATTTCAAAATGACATGAGAGTATTATCCAATGGAATAACTAATCAGGTACAAAACACAGCTCAATGTAGTTTGTATTGCGACTAGCTGATTAAATCAGAGGGAAGAAAAGTGTGGAGTTCAGGAAGAA